CAGGCTGAACAGCCCACGCCCCCCCAGCCTCTCCTTGTAGGAGAGATGCTCCAGTCCCCTCCTCATCCTCGCAGCCCTCCGCTGGACTCTCTCCAGCAGCTCCTCATCTTTCTTGAACTGGGGAGCCCAGAACACCACGCAGTGCTCCAGATGGGGCCTCACCAGGGCAGAACAGAGGGGGCTCCCCCTCTACCCCTTTTTCTCTGCCCCTCCCCAGCCCTCCAAGTCTGTCTCTTGCTCTACAGCACGAGCTGTTGGCGTTGCTCTGCAGCACCATCCAACAGACCAACAGAGAGCACAAATCCAGAAGACTCTGGAGAGCAACCTTCCTCCTGCAGCCCCTCTCATAAAGGCAGGGTGCTCCAGCACAACCACTTCCCTCCGGCACATCCGCAGCCACGTCCCACGTCCTGCTGCCGCCGCTGTGCCATCACCCCTGCCCCTTACCCCTCCTCGGGCTGTGCCACTCCGCTGCCCCAGATGGAGCTCCCCTAGGCCAAACACCTCCCTGGCCTGCTGGTCCAGCACTACGTTCAGAAGATCTTGGACTATTTGTAGCAGCAGGTAGATGCCCCGTTGGAGAGCTCAGGTAGAGCAGGGACGAGGGCCGTACGCAGAAACTAAGGACAGCAATGGCCTGGCCACGGGCAGATGGGACAGAAAAGGTCACGCTCCTACCTGCTGCGAGCTGGGGAGGTAACTGCAGGGATCGAGGCTTCCACAAAGGAGCAACAAGGGACTAAGGTGGGTCCTGGCCGCTCCTACGCTGGGCAGAGCGATGCAGGAGAGAGCTGGCAGCCTCGGGAGGCTGTCCCTTCCATGTGTGCTACGGGAGGCTGTCCCCTTGACGCCCAGAGCAGCAAACAGGCGGCCACAGGTTACAGAGAGGTCAGGCAGCCAGGTGCTCTGGGTTATCTTGACATAAGCACCTTATCTTATCTCGGAAGGAGAGATTATGACTAAGAGCCTCCCTCCAGGAGGCTGCCAACAAGGAGCCCTTCCTGAGGGAGATGCTGCCAACTCTCACCAGCGTCAGGCTAGTTCCTCCCTGCTGATGTCTGCCGTCCACCCAGGGCTGCTCCTGACATCTGAAAGACCAGCCAGGTCTGAAACTCATACGGGTGATGTTTGCCTAGAAGCATTTCCCAGGCATCGCAGTTTCCCTCCTCCACTTCCAGCTCCACAACTTCCCTGAGCCACGTTCAACAGCTTCCCCAACCTCCTTGCCCCTTCTGGCTGCCCACCAACCTTGTTCACCACCAGGAAGTTCTCAAGGGTCTTCCCATTGGAAAAGACCAGGTCCCCGGTGTCCTTCACAGCTTCAGGGAGGATCTCCTTTACCTCCTGAGCAATGACACCTGCATGAAAACACCACTGTG